CATACAGTGAATTCTTACAAGGTATTTTTTTTTTTTTTTTTACAAAATACATATTGCTATACTTGTCTTAATCTTACCTCTTGTTTGTCAGTAGACTAGGTCAATGACTGATTGATTTGGTTTTTCAAACCACCATGCATAGAGCCATGACTCAGTACCAGAGAGTTTGGGCAATGTGAGATCCACCCCCAACATTGGAAGGACATGTGTTGGGATGTTGAGGGGAAAAGATTCAGTTAATAATAGAGTAGGAAGGAGAAGAGGTGAAATGATGCTCAAAAAGAAAGCAAGTGAGTAAGGGGAGAATTGCACATAATAAGAAGGAAGAAAGCAGATTGCCATAAGAATAAAGAGTAAACAAACAGATTAGATACATTGCATGTTTCATTTGTCTGTATTTGGAAGAATGGAAATAGGGGTAGAACAAATTAAGAATAGAGAGTAGATATTGGAAAGTAAGGAGATGGAAAAACAGGATGTTGTTCATTGGTTGTACTAGAAAGGGGAACAGAAAAAAGTAAATGGTAAAAGATAAGGGAAGAAAGTTTCAATTTTTATTTTTTTCTACTTATTTGACAACTTAGGTCCTTGAAACTGGAACTTAAATGGTTTAAAAAACATAAGCAATGAACATTTTTAACTATTTTATTGAAAAAAAATTCTAGACATTGTATAATTATGTGATGTTTCTAAGAATCTTGCTTTATTCTCAGTTTAAGCCATGCTTAAATGAAGAAAATATTTCTTGATTTATTCCAAGTTTTCTTATGAGTATTTTACACTTCCTGTACTCTTGAAATCACTTCACTTCTAAAAAAAGGAAAATCATAAATTTGAAGAGGTGAAGTAGGTTATTAAAATGCAATTCTAATTTACAGAAAATATATGTTAAACAATTCAAATTTACCATCAGAACAGTTCAAATTATTCCCGCATTCAGGGACACAAAGCCCTAGCTTCACCCTGTGGTTATCCTGTAATTACTATTTGCAGGCAACAGAAAGGTTAACACTGATGCTGATCTCAATTGTAATGCACAGATTTACCAAAGAACCTTGTAGAATTGACATTTTATTTTGTCCTAAAGCATAAATCATAAAGACTCAGCAAGCTAATGTCCCTTTCATTGGCATAATGATATAAATAAGTAAAAATTCATTTTTAGCAGCACTTGGAAGGTGTGCCTTTAGGTTTATGGTTGTTGCTGTTGTTTATCATTTTTTTTAGTGGACGTTCGGTGTTAATCATTGATCCTCACAATATAAGGTCTCTTCCTAACAGTGGAAGTATCTTGAGGAAAAGATTTTGGTTATCTATGATCCATTATGTATAAAACTATCACTAACAGTCCGCCATCCACTATTTTTCATAACTATAGAGCAGAGTTCAATGGTGGTACAGTAGAAAGTGCCCATGGCTTTTTATTCCAAAATACTGGGTGAAACCCCAACACCACCATTAAGATCCACTTAATCAACCTGGGCCTCAGTGTTTTCATGTTCAAACAAGGGTAATACTACCTACTCACAGGATTTCTATATTTAAATAGGTTATCAATTTGGAAGTATTTGGAATTTTGTCAACATTAATGGATGACACAACTGGTGAGACATGGGTATGAACTCCCCAGAGTTTCTTGTCCCAAAGCCCATGGGTCACATAAATGACTTTGTAAGGTTGTTGCAGGTGTTTGTACTTGTAATTCAACTTTATCATTACAAAAGTTATTTGGGGGGTAAATCAACCTATCATTTAAAAAGCTTTAGTCATCATCTTCATGGCTCTACAGCTGGAGCACAGGAAAAGGCTTTCAGTCTCATAAAAATCTCCACTTGCTGTTTGGTGCCTTACATTCCTCCTATGGAATGAAACTAAGACCTCTCCCCTATTTTAGTAGCAATAGCCTAGGTGGTTTTACATACATTTCCTCAGATAATCATCAAATCAGCATGTAAAGAATATCTAATGACCCTCATTTGCAGATGATTCTCAGAAAGGCTGTGTAACATGACTGAGGTCATCTACATAGAAAAGGAAAGGAGCTGCAGTTGGGATCTAGAACTCTTTACACAGCTCCTTTACATTGTGAAACATCTGCTGCCTTTCCTAGTACAATATATAGTATTTTCAATACAAATGTTTGTGGAAGTATTATCGCAATAATTGTATCCACATTGGTGTAGAGAAAATGTTTACTGGAAAAAAGAGAGAGAGCAAAAGTGATTACTAGTTCCCAAGGAGTGGGGGAGCAGATAACGACTTGAAGGGTAGTTCTCAGGAACTCAGTGTTGTGCCTTGAACAAGTTCTATGGGAAGGCATTAGTGAGCATTGAAAAAAAAAAGTCTTCAATTCTTTCCTACTTGGTTGTCAGCAAATTTCTCAAGTCCTCCTGCATGTGCCTTTAAAATCTAATTCATCAGTATTCTGAAGATAGTTTAGCAGAGAGAAGTCCCAAGTCCTATATTTCTTTCTACTTATTGGCATTCCTCTCCTCCTTAACAAAAACCCAAAGAGCCTCTTTTCTGTGTGTCTCTGCTTTCCTGCTGATGGTACTAAATCTGTGGTTCATTTGAGTTGGTCTAAGTATACTTGCTAAAGTCAGGGAAGAAGATAGTTATTATATACAAATGCACATTGAACAGTCCCTTTGAGACACCAGCCTCTTGAACCTCTTTAGGAAAAAAAAAAAAAAAGCTGTTAGAAAAAAATGAGGCTCTTATATGATTGGTTAATACTTTAATTAAAAAAAATACTTATTTCTAACTAACCTCACTAAAATAAACCTGTTTTATCTTTTTTTAAAGACAAATTGTCTTCAAAATCAAGAACAAAGTCAAGAAATAATTCTTTTTATTCCTTCAACACACACATGCACTCACATGCACAGACATTCTAATATATACACTTACACAGAGATATAAAATGCAGGCACACAGAAAATATACAAGATTGTTCCATCCTTTCAATGAAATATTCAATATTATATATTTTTTAGAATATGTTGAAAAAGTGATTTTGGAGAAAAGTTGAAATGATTGAGCCTTAAATGCACTCTGCCATTTTTAAACTTTTAATAATCCAAGCCTATGTAAACACTGTGTTGTAAGTAATCATCATCGTGCTTCATAAACAAGAGACTGACTGTGTTTAGAAATACGCTTTCATTGTGCTGATATCACAATACAGATTTCTCTTTCCTCAGATTGTCTCCAGTGTAAACACACTGCTTGACAAAGATGACAGGAAAGCTAAGTTGATTGCTAGGCAGCTGTATTGTTATTACCATAGATAAACACACTTATTTCTTCTTTGGAGTATTCCTGGTAAGGAATTTCTGGATGAGTATAACGTTTTCTTTTGGGTTGATTATGATCTTATTTATTTTAGGTAATCACATAGGTATCCTTTACCCTTTTATGAGACTGGATTTAGTGCATACAAAAATTCAGAGGGAAAAGGTGAGCTATTAAATGATGTTTTGGGGGGCATGATTAGAAACAGGGATGTTATTATTGGAGTCTTATACAAGAGGAGGAATCAGAATTATACAACATAAGCACATTCCCATCTACATTGTGAGACCCAAGTGTTATCTTGAGATTATGGGGGAGTTTTATTTACAATATCAACTTGCTTATGAAACTAAAATAAATGCTTCCAGGAAGAAATGAGGTAATAGTAATGGACCAAACACTTGTTTATTTTGCATGGCTACTTTTTCATTTCCAAAGAGAGCTATTGTTCCCCTGTGCATCTTATACAGAGCTTACAATTTACTTGCTAGAAAAATGTTCATTATCTGCAGCAAAACTACTGATTACAAGAGTCAGCAGGCATCACTAGGGCAAAAGTACAGCAGCAAAGTTCAAGGGTGAGAAAGCACTCAGGGTGCGTGCGAAATCTCAGTGAAGCCCGTTAAACTGTAAGATGCACCTGACAAGGATCATGTTACCTAAGAGCCATGGCTTACACATTGTTTCAGATAACTGAAGTGCTTTGAGTGTCTTTTTGTGTCAGGAAGGAAGTATTGAATTAGTGAGATCCCAGTAATGGTGCTAATGCTGACAATGGCACCATCACCACCACTATGAAAAAAAAAAAAAACACAGTGGACACCTCCTATGCCTGACATAGCCAAGGAATTCCCTGAATTGTGATGTCACTTTGAGTGTCTGGCTCAGGGCAGAATTGGTCCTGTCTATAGTACCCAAATATGCAATCATACTAATACTTGGATAATCTCTTAGAGCTACATATTTACATCTGGGAAAAAAAAAATCAGTATCCAAATTAACTGGTCTCCAATACCGTCTAAAATGCAGCAGGGAAAGGGAGAAAAGGAAGCTCATTGCTTGTGCCCTTTGGGGCAGTAAAAAATTCATTATTCACTTGACATGGACTGTTACCAAACATAGAAGTGAGTAAAGATCCTTCCGTATTTGAAGACTATTATTAGTTCTGCCTTGTGAACGATCACTTCTTTGCCATCATCAATGATCAATGATAGGACGTAGCAATGATGGTGCAGCACTATGGGGTACTCCCACGGCACATTCATTTTCCCCATCACCTTGAGAGTAGTTTCCAAGATTAATTCTAGTGTCAGTGCCCCCTTATATTAATTATTGCTGCAGAAGCTCGTTATAATATATCAGGGTTTAGCCACTCTTTTGTTACTTTGATGTGAAGTCCCTAAAGCCTCAGAAATTGCAAACATGAAAGCAAACAAACAAAAGAACTAGCAACAGTTTTCAAATATCATTGAATATGGCTTTTTAAAATTAATATCTGTATTAACTGCATCCCTCTCTTTAATTCTCTTTCTTTCTGCCCCTGATAGTATGATTTGTTTTGTTGATCTAGTTCATTCAAGAAATTCAGACACTTAAAAACTTTGCTGAAAATGTCATCTAAGACAGTGAGCAACTCTCTGATATAGATTTGATAATAGAGTTTGGCTATGTAGGCTAGTGGCTACTGAATGTGAAAACAAAGCATAGTATATATGCAATAGCACATATACTAAAATTGGAACCATACAGAGAAGGTTAGTAAGGCCCCTGAGCAAAAGGCAAGTCACAGATTTTCTTTTTTTTTAATTTTTTTTTATTTTTTTTATTTTTTTTTATTTTTGGGACAGAGAGAGACAGAGCATGAATGGGGGAGGGGCAGAGAGAGAGGGAGACACAGAATCGGAAACAGGCTCTAGGCTCTGAGCCATCAGCCCAGAGCCCGATGCGGGGCTCGAACTCACAGACCGCGAGATCGTGACCTGGCTGAAGTCGGACGCTTAACCGACTGCGCCACCCAGGCGCCCCAAGTCACAGATTTTCTAATTAACATTGCTGAGTATTGTGAACTTTTTGCAAGTTTTACGGGATGTTACGGGATGAAATGGCAAGGATATACACCCTCACATGGTAGAAAATGGTGATTCCTTCTTGCTGATGTCAGAATGCAAAAATACGTGCATACGGAGTCAGATTTTAATTGATGGAGCTGAATAAAATTTCTAATTCTATTGGGTAAATCTGCTTTGTTCTCTTATGTACTTAAAGTAGAACAGTCATTTAGCATTGTAAATAGTTTTCCTGCATCTCCGTATGAAAGGAACACATCTTACCTGTTTGGTTTTTTTTTTTAGCTATGTATATTAGAAATCACCTACTATAACTTCCTTGAACATATGGATTTATCTCTCTTGTCTTTTCAAATAGAGTGAATAATTCTTGGCTCATGGTACTTAGTCACTGCTTACTAACCAAGTATGTGTTTGGCAAGTGTATCATTTTCCTATGCTGTGTAACAAATTACCGCAAACTCAGTGGCTTAGTAAAACATATATTTATTCTTTCACGGTTTCTGTGAGTAGGGACAGATACTGCTTATTCTTTGCAAGGATGTAGTCAATACAAAAGACAGGGCTACTTCTCATCTGGAGGCTCTAGTACTGACAGATCCACTTTCCAGTTCACCCAGGTTGTTGGCAGAATTTACTTCCTTGTGACCATTAGAGCGAGGGCTCCAACTCCTTGCTGCCTGTTGGCTGGAGTTTCCTCTCGGCTCCCAGAGGCTGACTGAAGCTCCATGCCTCATGTCTCTCTCCACAGAACACCTCACAGCATGGCACCTTGCTTCTTTAAAACCTGTAAGGGAGGAGGGGAACACTGGTCTGATAGCAAAATGGAATATTATACAATGTATCATAATCAGGAAGTGGGCTCCTATCACCTTTGCCAAATTCTGTTGGAAGCGTATCATAGGTCCTGTCCATACTAAAAGGAAGGAACCCTGAGGACGGCTTTAAAGTCTGTCTGACAGAGCAGCTATCATCATAAGAACTAGTATCAGCCTTGAAAACCCAAATTTGAATCAGAATTTAAAATAATGTTACGGGGGGGAAAGGTTAGTTTGGTCTTCCTGAAGAAAATGTAAATAGTTGTTAAATAGTTGTAGGGGGTATAGAGTTGTCACTACACAAGATTTATAAAAGCACCATACCCACGGCATTCCCCATTGTAAGAGGTTAGATCTTTAGGGAATAGGAATGTATTCTTAGCTACTTTGACAATGAATAACACATGAACTTCTTTCCTTGGTGAGTACATTCTGAGTTTTAGGACTCTGAAGAACACAGTTTGTGCTTAATGTACACCTCACTTGTCTACTATTGTTTGGCCTGTAACAACCACAGAGGTGATTATATACTATGTAATTATATGCTGTAGTTAATAGGCATTTCACCATCTATTTATCCATAGGTCTGTTTTCTCACATAAGCACTTAATTCTATAATGTTTAAATCAAAAGCTCCAGGCTTACTAGTCTTCCAGGATGTGACAACAATGGATGAATTATAAGCTATTCCCCCAAAGAATAGTGAATTGGGACACGTGGGGCTATGTAACACTGGAGCAACCACATCTGGTGCTCCCTGAAAAATTCCACACCTTCATGTCTTCCTGTAGTTCAAAAACAGACACTATTTCTGAGTGCCCCTGCAGACCATAATTGCCACTTTCTACTTAGGAAAAGCAATTTCTAAGGTAACCAGGATACACACTCCAGAGCAGTTTATAACTAGTGCAAACTAAATTATGAGCATACTACATAGGAACCCTATTGCAAAGGAGATTTTTTTTTCCATAGCAAAATAATCAATATATATGATTGAAATTTACAAGTATTTGTATTTTTTCCATTAACTCTTGTTTTGGGACACTTTTATATCTGCCATGTAATAAACATGTAAACTTTTCAGCCCACCACTAACCCTTCTCACATGTAGCAGTAATCATATGACAATTTACTGCATGTGTATCAGTCAGAACCCTGTCAGAAACTGGTGGCAAAATTAAAAATGGTTGAAGAGAGTTTAATAAGGTGACTATTTAAAGACAGATTGAACAGTATTAAAGGTTGGTGAAGCATCCTGCACTAACTACAGCTGGAAGCTATATCTCCATGCCTAGGCTTGATGGAACATAGGGTTATCAGAACACAGAAAGATCTGTTCAAGAAGAACCTGACCTTAAGTAAAGAAAAGCAACAAGTGTCCTGGCAGGTAAAAAACAAGAGAGATAAATACCATAATTCTTCATTTCTTTTACCTTTTAATATTCTGCTGATGCTTCGCCTTGCCTGAACCATGAAGAAACCACAAGGAAAAAGAACCTGGTTGATAATAGTGCGTAAATGTTGAGTTCATGAAACACAGAGCAAGAGTGTGTGTATGTGTGGGAAGGGGAGGTTGAAAACTGGAAGGGGAGAGATAAGCAGAGATTATCCTATCGTGTATCAATGTGTATCAGGGCTCAAAGATAGTTGTGGATAATTTTGTCTCATTTTTATTAAAATTCCAACTTTTATCCATGGTCTGAATTCTTTCAGTTTCTTCCTTTTACAACTGGGGAATATTGGTCAAAGATATATTAAATCTGTTATTTTTTAACATACCTTAGCAAGTGCATCAATCATGTATTTCATTAATATTCTGACCTCTTTTCAGAAATCATGGGACATCTAACAGAGTTGTTGAAATCTTCAGTGTTCTTTTAACCGTTCATAACTAGAGATTCTGCAAGGCAGTTTCTATCAATTTCCATATTCATACAGGCTGCCCAACTTTAAGATACTTCTATAATTCCACATATTCTTTAGAGGAAATCCCAAGGACTATAAGGAACAAAAAATTACCCAAATAATCCAAGATTTCTCCATATAGGCTCCAAGTCAACATAAAATCTTCAAAACTCCTTGAAAGAAAGCTGGCCAAAATCTAGAGAGAATTTCTGAAGGTTACCATGAATTATACGTTTTTGCAATCTTCCCTTGTACTTTTTTTTCAAGGAAATAAAAAAAAAGCTTTATGCCTTTATTTGAGATACCATTTTAAAAAGCTTTTTGAGAGAGAATATGTCAAAATTGGCACATAAATCACAGAATGAAATCCTCCAGTTCTATCAACGGAGAGACTAATACCTAAATTATATTAACTCTAATCCAAATCATCATTCAACATCTTTTTATCATTTCTAAGCACTCATACACATTTGGATAAATCATTTCCCTTTTTTTTCTTCATGCCTACTGACTTCTCTTCATGAAATCTTTTTCTCTTCCCCTTGTGAATTAAAAGACACAACTACAATTTATGGATTACTTAGTCAATAAAGTCAGCTATACAAACCAATGTTTCAATTCTATTGAGTTTTAAGTTCAACCTTTCTATGACTTTAAGCAAATCAGTTTTTATTAATTTCCAATTTTATCATTTCTTAAGTAAATAGTAATCTTTTGTTGTGTTATTTTTTAAGATTCTATTTAAACTGCAGTTAGTTAACATGCAGTGTAATTGTAGTTTTAGGTATACAATGTAGTGATTCAATACTTCACAAAACACCTAGTACTCATCACGACAAGTGTCCTCCTTAATCCCCATCACCTATTTTTCCCATCTACACACCCACCTCCCCTTTGGTAACCATGAGTTTGTTCTCTAGAGTTAAAAGTCTGTTTCTTAGTTTGTCTCTCTCTTTCTTTTTCTTTTTTTGTTTGTTTTGCTCCTTAAATTCTACATGTGAATGACATCCAATGGTATTTGACTTTCTCTGAATGACTTATTCCACTTAGCATAATACTCTTTAGCTCCATCCATGTCCTTGCAAATGGCAAGATTTCATTTTTTTTATGGCTGAGTAATATTCCATTATATATATATATATATATATATATATATATATATATATATATATATATATATATATATATATATATATATATATATATACATATATATATATGTATGTATATTTATACATCTATATCTATCTATACCTATATCTATCTACATCTATATCTATATCTATATCTGCACACATATATACCACTTCTTCTTTATCCATTCATCAATCTATAGGCAATTGGGCTGTTACCATAATTTGGCTATTGTAGACAATGCTACTATAAACATCAGGGTGCAAATACACCTCGAATTAGCATTTTTTTATTCTTTTGGTAAATAGTAGTACAGTTGCTGGATCATAACATAGTTCTATTTTTCATTTTTTTGAGAAACATCCATACTGTTTTCCAGAGTTGCTGTATCAGTTTCCATTCCCACCAACAGTGCAAAGGGTTCCCCTTTCTCCACATACTAACACCTGTTGTTTCTTTTGTTGTTGATCATTCTGACAGGTGAGGTGATATCTCATTGTGGTTTGATTTGCATTTCCCTGATGACGAATGATGTTGACCATCTTTTCATGTATCTGTTGGCCATATGTATGTCTTTAGAGAAATGTCTGTTCATGTCTTCTGCCCATTTTTAATTAGATTAATTGTTTTTAGGTATTGAGTTGTATAAGTTCTTTATATGTTTTGCATACTAACCCTTCATCAGATATGTCATTTGCAAATATCTTCTCCCATGCAGTAGGTTGCCTGTTAGTATTGTTGATTCTTTCCCTTACTGTTCAGAAGCTTTTAATTTGATGATGTCCCAATAGTTTATTTTTGCTCGGTTTCCCTTGCCTCAGGAAACATATCTAGAAAGAAGTTGCTACAGCCAATGTCAAAGAATTTATTGCCTGTATTCTCTTCTAGGATT